TTTAGAAAAAACCGTTACTCATACTACCGAACGTCCCAATGAAAATTACATTGTTATCGCAGTGAATGATCTTAAGACAGTTGCCCAGGAAGATTGCGTTGATCATGAACAACATGAAGGTGAGTAACAATTTTAAAGATTTTAAAGATGGACAGCTATATTTTGGTTGTTTATTTTAGAGATAATTATCGACAATGGTTCTAATTTGTTTGCCTTACAAGAAGATAACATTAATATAATCATCTATAATGTCCAAGAAAGTACAGGTAGGTACTGAAACTGTGTTTGTTTGCTGTAGCTCTCATTGTTTGTTTTATAATTCACTGACTTTTGGATTTACATGATTTTAGAAATTAACAACGAAAAGAGTTTTGAAACTAACGACGAAGGAAGGCGTGATTCCACGTACATTCTCCAGAACAATGACACAGATTCCACAAGTAGTGACCAAGAACCCCAAAGCTTTGCAGGTGAGGCTATATAGAATTTCATATTATTAATAAACAAAATGAGGAAAGTCAGACCTTGGGAATAAAGGGCAGTACATTTTCCTGACTATTGTTATTTGGACTTTCTGTCAAGTGACTACTTAACAGGCGAAACTTTTATTACAGATAATATTGGAAATAAAGGGGCAGAAGAAACAGCTTCCCCTGTCCCGAATAGTGACAATGAGGAAATCACTCCAACGGCTAAACGAAAGAGGAGTAGGTTCGCAAACCCAAGTACTTGGGAGAGGAACATTCGAAAACAGAAAAGGCTCGCTGGAGAAAGCTACATTGATAGAAATGGTCGTGAAATTCCCGAAAAAGTGGTAAACCTGGTAGACTGCCGGTTTAAATGTAGGGATGCAATCACGGTTGCACAACAAAAATCGCTGTTTCAGGAGTATTGGAGTTTTGGGAGTACAGTACGTCAAAAGGATTTTTTGTGTTCCCTCATTGAAGAAACCGCTATAGCCAGGAAGAGAAAAAGATCTAAAGATTCAGGTATTGATAAAACTGTGAGCAGATCTTACAAGCTACCAAATGGAAACAGTGAAACTATTCGAGCATGCCAAAAATTCTTTTGCACCACTTTTGCTATCTCAAAAAGAATCCGTCGCACTGCTTCACAAAAGTCTAAACGGAACCTATAGAGGGCAGGATAAAAGAAAAGGGAGGCCAGCGACTAATGTCACTCCTCATGAAAAAGTGCGGGAAATTCAAGCGTTCCTTGCTGCATTTCCCAAAGTTCCTTCCCACTACTGCCGCCAGCGAAGTTCCAGATTATACCTTTCACCAGACCTCTCAATTGAAAAACTCTATACACTCTATAAAGATAAATGTGGGCCAGAAGCTGTGAATCTTAATGTCTTTCGACGATTATTCAAAGAGCATGATCCACCACTAGCAATTTTCAAGCCTAAGAAAGACCAGTGTTCCATTTGCAATGAAGCAGAACGTTTAAATTCTAAAGGCACAGATATAAAATACCAAGAGCATGTAAGGCAAAAAGATGCAATCAAAGCCATGAAAGAAAACGATAAAAAAGCATCTAAGAATGATTCAAAAATTAGCTACGGTACCTTCGATCTACAGGCAGTTTTAACTCTACCGTATGCTGGTGATTGCCAAATTTACTATAAAAGGAAGCTGTCCCTTTTCAACTTCACTGTCTTCGACTCCCGGAAAGACGGACATTGCTTTTTATGGGATGAAACCAACGGAAAGAAAGGCAGTGCAGAAATAGCGACCTGTTTATTAAAATATATTGGCACGTTAAATCCGTCTACAGAACACTTGGTATTGTATGCCGATACTTGTGGCGGGCAAAATAGAAATCAAAATGTCCTCGCAAGCATGTTCTTTGCTGTGAACAGAAGAAGTAATCCACAAATCATTGACTTAAAATTCATGGAAAGTGAGCACAGCTATCTCGAAGCAGACAGCATTCATGCAACCATAGAAAGAGCTCGCAAGGCAAAAAAGTTGTACTCACCTAATGAGTATAAACTTTTAATTGAAATGAGTAGGGAAAAACCATTTCCCTACATTGTACATCACCTCACGTGCAATGAATTTTATAATGTTGAATCTTTAAATAAAACTATTGTGAAAAACAAAACTAAATCAACAACTGGAGAGAAACTTAATTGGTTAAAAGTAAAATGGTTTAGATTCCAAAAAAATTTCAAAGTAATTGGTTACAAATACGATGTTCAAGAAAAATAAAAATTTTTTGAAGTCAACCCCTCCGAAATTAATTGGGAAAACATAATTGTTGAAAGCAAATATAAAAACCACGAAATTTCTATCGCCAAAAAAAGAGATTTGATTAGCTTACTCAAGCAAGGTGTTATACCCCAAGAGTACGCAGCATTTTATAATAACCTACCATCCTCCAGAGGTATTCGAGACGCCGCAGTGTGGAGTCATGATCAGGAAATCGAAAATGATGTAGATGAAATTGATATTTAATTAAAAAATTTTTATTTATTTATTTTATTTATTTTAACTTTTTTTAAATAAATAATTATATACCTAGCTATTTTTTTTTGTTAACCTTGGAATCCAGAGCAACAATCATTTTTTGTTTTGTAATGAAGTTTAGTAAGTTAAATAATAAATACTAAATTGTGTCCCATGTCCAGTTTGAACACCTGATGTCCAGCTCAAAGGTGCTATGTCCTTATAATGTATTATAATACCATGAATAAATCAAAAAAGTGTTTATTAATTAGAAAAGTTTTTTTTGTATTATTTTTACAAAGGTAACAAACCATAAAATTAGTAAATATCAAAAGACATTGAGCTGCATTACTAGAGTTATGCACGTATCAAAACTTTACTTTGAGTTTTCCAAAAGTAGTGAGGAACGGACATAGCTTATTTGTACTCTAAGGTATCGACATGGTCTCCAATTTCATTGAAATTTTGCAATATACGAGCCATTTCTTCTACTGAGAATTTTCGCTGACATCTTAGAATTTATATTTATTAATAACGTATATTATACATTACGTACCTAACCTCCCCTGCATCTTGCACCTGTTGTCTTATCCGCTTTTTTCCTTTTTTTTTAAGTATATTTCAATCCTTTCGCCTTTATTTTTTTATTTTAAACATTTTTTCACTCGTCAGCATTCCTTTTTACTTTCCTATCTGTATACAGATATAAGGAAAGTATAGGAATCATGATTTTTTTCGACCTCGAGTTTTCGACGGATTTTTACGTTTTGAGGTCCCCTGAATCCGTTTTGACTATTTTCGCGATGATGTCTGTGTGTGTGTCTGTGTGTCTGTGTGTGTGTGTGTGTGTGTGTGTGTCTGTATAACGCATAACTCATGAACCGATACACAGAAAAACACCAAATTTTAAACTTAAGCTTTGTTTCAGCGTCCAATGAGCTGATTAGATTTTTGGCAGTGTCGGAACATCTGGGGGGGTACTTTATAGGTGGTCATTTTTATATTTTATGGAATATATCTGTTATTTACGTTTGGAGAAGAAAATTCTTCAAATAAAAGTTACTTCTAATATAATTATCTATAATTTTTGTTTTATGCAAAATTTTCCTAAAATGGTCCGTATTCGAGAAATTTGACAAAATGTAAAAAACATAATTTTTTATAAAAATTGTTCAAATAAAAGTTGTTTATAATATAATTCTCTATAATTTTTGTCCTATACATAATTTCTCTAAAATGGACCGTATTCGAGATATTTGAGAAAATGTGTAAATTTCGAAATTTGAAGAAAACTCAAAAACGGATAAAGGAAAAACATTAAATTTTAAACTTAAGGTTTATTTCGGCCTGACGTGAAATGATTAGATTTTGGACAAAGTTGGAACATCTGGGGGGGTACTTTATGGGAGGCCGTTTTTATATTTTATGGAATATATCTGTTATTTATGTTTGGAGAAGAAAATTGTTCAAATAAAAGTTACTTCTAATATTATTATCTATAATTTTTGTTTTATGTCAAAATTTCCTGAAATGGTCCGTATTCGAGAAATTTGACAAAATGTGCAAAATTCTGATTTTTATGAAAATTGTTGAACTAAAAGTTGTTTGCGATATCGATTTCTATAATTTTTGTTTATACATGATTTTTCTAAAATGGTCCGTAATGGAAAAGTGCTAAATTTAAATTTTTCTGTATTTTCGTTTTCAATGAATATCTATAGAAAAATGTTTCGAGGTAGATGTATGTGTAAAATGTATATATTTAGTTTATCCTCTAAACATTTATAGAGATGCTGCAATAGGTTGTACAAAATAACCGGAAAATGCCTATAATAACTAGATAGGAAAGTCATGTGTTGGACACATCAGATTTTTCTTTTTAGTTTTATAATACTTGTTTCCTCGTTCTCTGAATTATCCATTATTTTAGGACTCCTAAACTCAACTGTTATTTTGGGGTTATGTTTAACCAAACACAACACAAATTACGTATATCAACTTAAGCGAAAGAAAGGCCCAAGTGTATCAGATAGGCTCTTGTTCTTCTAAGCAACAAAAACACAGCTGATTTTAATGCGTTTGCGCTGCGTTTAGTGGGCCTTTCTTATTCTAGGCAGATGCGGATTTCGATGGAGAATCACAATACCGCGAAAATGGGATTCGGACAAACTGCACGGATGGGCCCTTATTTATCTAGGCTATTCAATTTCATTTTTTATTTGTATAAATCGACTTCCCCTTGTACTGGGGGGCTGTAACCCTAAAGCGGTCACAACAAGCATAATTTTATTGTTTTTTGTGATCTAAAAGTAAAATCGTTTATACTTACACGTTCTAGTATCGTTATAAATGACCAAATATTAAATTTATCCTTATACAAAAGTAAAATTTAAAAAGCAAAATCATGCTCTTCTTCCGGACAACGTCATTGTAAAGTTACCTTAACAATAATAACTACATGCTGATTTGTAAAAAGTTTCCTTCATATGTTTTGGATGACTTTATATAACACAATCCTGAGTTACCGTTGCATTTTTTTAAAACACTCACCTCTGAGGACATTTCGATCTAAATAGGAAGAACCATAGAGATCTTCAGGTTGGCTGAGAGCTAGACGAAAGCCGGCCACTAATCTCGTATAGTAACCGAGTGTGAACATAATCACGAACAGTGTCGATGCGATCCATTTCATTGTTCAAATCCCTGCAATTAAAAAATTCATTTACTTAAAAAACAAATAAAAGTTATATTTTTATTTAAAGTATTAAAGTAACTGTTATTATTTAGAATCCAATATACGTGTCAACGTTATTCTTAAGTATTATTGTGCTCAACCTTATCTCTGATTGTGCTCATTGTTGTTGTAAGTACAGGAAAAACTTAAGTTTTATTTTTGTAACTCTGTATTATTATGTTTTCTTAGTTTACGTTGTATTGCCATTTTAAAAGTTTCTTGATAATTTGTAAAATATATTTTTACCTGATAAACTCTGAAAATATTTATTCAATATAAGGCCGCCATTTCAGTGTATTTTACGTGGTCAAAACAGAGGTTTACAATAATTTACAGAACTTATCTTTCACTGGATGGATTTTAGTGAAACTCTGGCAGCTTATAGTAAAATGTTTATTGCTTGCAATGGGACATTTTCATTTGTCCTGCTATTTATTAAAAACTATTAAACAATGTAAAAAAGTGATAGTCACAGATGCAGTTTAAAAAACTTTACAGCATTCTATATATTTTTTTAAATATTCTTGTCAAATTTTAATAATCAATGTTGCGTAGGACGGACGCCAATTGAGCACTTTATTACCTTCAGGTAAAATTGATACCGTAGCCGGACACGCCAATTGAGCACCAATGACCAAACAGAGACCGGCCAATTGAGCACTTTATGACTAGCCAATTGCGCACTTTATTACTAGTTTGTTTATTAACGAATTATCAGGCACATACTGAATTAATGCAAACAGTTATTTTTCTCGAGTAAATAAAAATCAGAATATGGTAGTTGGCATTTATTTATTAAAAAAAAAAATCATGGATCAAAACAATTTTTAAGAAGTATTTTTTCGCAGACCTGTGTAATAATAATAATAATTTTACAGTAAATAGTATTATAGTTTGTATCTATGAGCAACTAACTTCACAAAATCATATTCTGACAATAGCTTATTATCTAGCTCCAAAATCTTTTGATTTAAAAACTTTTCCGCATCTGTGACTTTTTTCGTTTTTACAACAATATGGTTACCAATACTTTGAATTTTAATATAAACTAAGCATCGAAATTCAATAAGAGTTTTAACAAAAACGTGAATATTGGGGTGCGTATGGTAAAAACTTTTTGAAACATGAGACTGAAAGGATTCACAGGGGTTGGTTGTTAAAAATAAATTACTGGTTTTGGAAGCCCATACCGAAGGAGGAAATACAGACGTTTCCGAAATATAAAAATCAACTAATTAATCTGCTAATTTTGAAAAGGCATTAGAATCAAGAATGTCTGATATAAAATTATTAATGACAATCGCTTACACTTTCGGGAGTGAGAAAAGGTAAACCAAATAAATGTATCCATTTTCCTGACTCAGTTTGACTTTTATAAAGGTTTACTAAACCTAAGTTTTAAACTTTTCTATAACAGCTTTGTGCCAACCAAAAATTTTTGCATTTGGCCAAACAGATTGCGCAGAATTATGAATGACTTTTTCGAAATCTATAACTGTCTGTTGAGGATTTAAAGAAATATTTATGGAATTATGATAACATCAGTAATTTATTAAACAGAATGGTATACGTTTTGCTTAGTTTGTTTGAAAGAAGGAATATAATGTCCATTGCGCAACCCATGAATAGTAAATAGTTGAAAAAATAATTTTGTACAATATTTAAATGTTCCATCCATGTAAATTTTGTCACACTGCGATAAACATTTCATATTAGATGTACAACCAAAAATTACAATATTAAATTCAATATCATTGGCCAATTCGTTTCTATCTGTTGTTAAATCCATAACATTCAGAGCTTCTTGGACATCATGTATATCTTTTGGTGTAGCTGACTTGTTGGTGTTCAATCGATTGCGATTCATATTATGCCGTATGAAGTCCAGATCCATTTTTTTTTTTAGTTTTACACCCTTCAGACCTCCCGTGCTACACCCTAATCCGTCGGTAGTTTGGCAGCACTGCAGCCTGCGGCTTATTGTACCATATTTGAAGGTCCTACTACTTTCCCATTTACACCCTCATTCATTCCACGTCGTCGATGGTTAAACGCTAGTCGGATGAATCCCATGGTGACACGGCCCATGGTGGAACCTTCCAGCGGTCACTTATCTACGACGTGGCCGGATACATCACTGCCTAACTGTTGCGAGTATGTGGATGCACACTAAACTCGCGGCTAGCCTCTCCGGCAGTCCAGATCCATAGTTGTTATATTTTTCTTATACGAAGACGTCGAAATCTCCATATTCATTATTTTTGATGGTCGTTGGTAAATGTCATGCACGGCCTTCCTTTTGCAACTATTACTTATAGCCTGTCGACTCAGCTTTTGCAAGTTGGCTTGATGGTTGTGTTCCAAGGAATTATCCAGAACGTTTAAATCTGAAAAGACATTAGATTATTGATTTGACCATTCAAAAAAAAAGGTTTTAATTCAAATTCAAAAAGTTGCAATTAACTTTTGGTATGCGAAAGCTATTCAAATACACAGTAAAAGACAATGTCCTTAGGATCAAGAAAGGATTTTTTTATTTGTTAAAATATCCACTGTCCATTTCTTAGTAATAAACAACCAATATAATCCACTTTCTTTAATAAATATAATGAAAATAATTAAACTTACCTCGAGTATGACATTTTGCTTTACATCCTTCAGGTCTTTACGTTTCCTAAATTTAATATCATTTAGAACAAGCATTTGCTGGCCACGTTCACTTAAAACAAAATCAGTTACCTACTAACTTTTTTTATCCGAACGCTAAAAGGTTTAGATAAAAACTGGTATGAGCCAATTGAGCTATTAAAGCATAAATAGAAGAGACTTAATTGTACGGATGCGCCGTATAAATAAGTCACTCCAATAGTCACCCCTTCTACCCAAGTAAGATAATGTTGTTTTGATTGGTTTTGAAAATTGTATTTTGACAAAGGTAATTAAGAATGTGTTACAATTGGCAAATATGAAAATAAGTACCTATCTCTAATTTAATTTGAATGTAAAACTGCTTATGTTTTTAAAACCAAATCAAAATATGTAAAAGCTTTTAACGGATTAATATGAATGTTTTGCATTTCGAGGTCTGAAAATTTGGTACCACAATATTGCAAAAATTATGCAAAAATTTGTATTCATTAGAATAATAACATTCCGTTTGCCCGTCAATTATTTTTGTTACCTACCAATATAAAATGAAAAAACATTACTCACAAAAATTTAATTTTATTACTTATTTCTGTTTTTAAACATTATTTGTTATTTTTTAAAGTATTTTCATGAGTAGATTATTAACTTATTTATTATTATTATTTTAGGTTTTGATAACGACTTTGTAGCTGAAACTGATCTCATCATTTTTTCTTAACCTATTGTTGAGTGCGTATTCCATTTATAATAATATACTTCATTACGTAATAAAAAGGGATCAAAGTGTCTAGGGTTTTCCCAATAAAAATTAGTTTTAAGCTTTTAATGAGTCTCTTTAAATTAGAATATTAAGGGATTATTATTACAAAGTGGTTCCAGGTCAAAGTGCTGAATTGGCCTGTCTCAAAAGGGTTGCTTTAAAAAGGTACCCGACTGACTGGTGCTCAGTTGGCCGGTCTACATTTATTACATCTAGAGCTTGGTGCTCAATTGGCTCATACCCGTTGCGTACTTTTAAACTGTGCACAAATTACGATTTTATGTAAAATTAAAAATTTTGCTGCGTCCATATTGAATTTAAGTTCAGGTCCTAAGTTATATGTGTCCGATGGAGCAAAAGCAGCGAAAGTTTCAAAGCCGGATTGCCATATCTTAAAATTGTCTTGAATTTAGACGTAAATATATTATCATGCATATTTACAATTAACAGAAATATAAATTAGAGTTACAGGGACACTTTTTTTTACCGTTTTCTTAATAAGATGAATTTTTAATAATATTTGGTGCTTTATCTAAAATCTAATACTAAATTAAATAAAATTTTAAATAAATGCCTTTATACTTTGCTAGTTGAATACTCATATAAAGTCACAAAATATTTATTTAAAACGCTTATGAAAAGATTTGTGAAAAAATTGGATGAAGACGCCTTTTTTTTAGTGTTTGCTGAGTTTTTCTGTAAATAAAATGTGAATTCGACAAAATGGACATTGGTTAGTTAGGCATTCAATATGTGACCATCAAACACAAACATATAGCATATATGTATCATTTACATATCATGTTATATAACAAAGTAACTTACATGTTCATAATAACTCACATGATTACTATAAAAAATTACCTAATTTTGTTATATAGCAGATTTTTCGTAGATGATCCCACTATGCATAAAAACATTGTTGCATTGTAACACTCATTTTTATTCTTGTTTTCATCTATTGTGATCGGGATGTGAAAATAACACTCTACACGTTATAATTATTAATCTATTAGTGAAATATATTAGGTATACATTCGATCTCAATGGGAGTTTAAGTATTACTGCCTGAATAGGTAAATATGTCGACGCTCCAGCCGGTCACGGTGAATCCCCGCACAGGTGTCGATCAGCAAAAATACACAACGTACAGAGTGGTATATTTCGTTGCACGGCCATCCTGAGGGTTGTTTGTCCTCAAACTAATGTTGTTGTTATTTGTGCCTAAAAGAGATATACGTTTAAGTTGGAAATCTAAGAAGCTAAGGAAATATACGTAAAGTGCCTCTAAGGACCTCGTTATGCCCCTGACAGCTTTAAGATGCCCATGACGGCTGTAAGATGCCCCTGGCGGCTTTTAGATGCCACTGACGGCTTTTAGATGCCACTGACGGCTTTTAGATGCCACTGACGGCTTTGAAATGCCACTGACGGCTGTAAGATGCCCCTGACGGCTTTTAGATGCCACTGACGGCATTTAAATGCCACTGATGGCTTTATGATGCCACTGACGGCTTTGAAATGCCACTGACGACTTAAAAATGCTACTGACGGCTTGAA